CCCCGGTAGGCCCCGCCCCCAGAGCGCTCTCCCGGTTCGAGCCCCGCCCCCCCGCGTCTCCTCCCACCCCCAACCGAGGTTGGGGGCCTTTTTTTCTGCCTCTTTAGCTGGAGTTCTGGAGTCCATCCCCCTGTTTCTCTACTGGTAGCTGAAGGCTGTCGAGGGCAGGGGCCCTCCTGATTCCTTTGTTTGGGGCCAGGCTTCCCACTGCTAGCCTTTCTTCGGTGGTTGTGGTTAGGGGGTCCGACCCACTATTTTCCCTGGGGCCCTTGCAGAAGCCTGGGACACAGAACCTTCATGCCTCCTCTCCACTCTCCTTGGCAGTGGTTAACAGAGCAGTTGCTGCTATGAGATAGAAGTCAGTTCAAATCCTGACTTCTCCCCTTAGTAGCTGGATGACCTTTGGCAGAGACTTCCAACTCTGAACTTCTGTTTTCTCATCTGCAAAACTGGGGTACCAATAGTAACCTTCCTCACAGAGTTGTTGGTTGCACAGCTGAGATTGTTTGTGTAAAGGATCCAGCCTAGTGCCTGGAAATGAATGAGTTTAGTGATTAGCACTGTTTTCATCCCTATAGTCATATCATTAGCAAAAAGGTGTGTGGGAGGCCCCACAAAATTAGTAGCCTGTAGAGCAGGTCTGGATCCTTGGCAGTATAAATAGAATCGGGGGCCCAGAGGTTGGAAAGTTTTGTCCTGATTGGGAGGTATGGTAGAGGAGGAGCCTTGAAGTACACCCTAGCTTGGGCTGCATGTCTTGCCTGCATTACGCCACTTTGCCTTCACATGTCCAGTCTCACTGCCAGCAGCAGTTCAGCCTCTTACATTGCCAGCACAGCAATCTTCCTAATGCAAAGTCTCCTATCACTGTTCTGTGTTAAACCCTTCAGTGGCTCCTTATTGCCTTCAGGATAAATCAAGTCCAGATTCCTTAGCCTGGCATTCAAAGTTCTTCATAATTTAGCAGCCCCTGCTTACCTCGTTGATCACTATGTCCTTCCACTGTTCAATTTGAGTTTTATGCTCTGGCAACCCCAGGCTACTTGTGATTCTCCACACACTTCTTGCTTCTCTGCCTTTGTTCCTGCTGTTTTGTCTTGTCTGGAATGCCCTTTCCCCTCTGCTGCCCCACACTGTCCCCTAGCTTGTCTGGTTCATCATTTAAGGCTTAGCTCAGATGTTACCTCCTTCAGGAGAGCCTTCCTAGACCCCTCCTGTAGCACCTTGTGTTCCGTGGGTGGGGTCTGGGATGGAAGGGCAGTCCCTAGGCCCTCATAGAACAGCTGGCTTTAGGCCAGCTGTATCTCCCTAGAGCTAGATCTGTTAGTCGAGGACTCTTGGGCTTATAGATGTAGAAATGCTTTTGAAAAGTTTTGGCCTCAGCGGGAGATGAAGCCAGTTAATATTTTTGCCCTTGGAGAGCCTGCAGCTGCAAAGGGCTGGAGCTGCCTTCTGCATGGTGGGAAAGACAAAGTTCTCCCTTAGACCAGACGGGCAGCCTAGTGGTGTTGGTTTGCATTTCAGCTCCACCTCCTACTGTTCTGTGGCTTTGGCAAGTTATCCAACCTCCCTGAGCCTCAGATTCTTCCACCACAAAGTAGGAGTAATAAGAGTGCCTCTGCACAGGATTGTGAATGTTAACAAGACAGTGGCTGGACGGGTGTGCCTGGCATGGAACAGGTGCTCTGTTGGTGTATTTCCACCCCAAGTGGCTCCCCTCCCTGCTTCAGGGTCCTGGAATTGGAAGAAATCTCAGGGTGCCATTCTGTGCTGTATCCTTCTACTAGCATGAGAGCGTTCTGTTGCTACCAGATCCTCCCTTGACAGGACGCTCCCTCCCAAATACTCTGGCTTGTTAGAGGACACTCGGATTGTTAGAAAGCATTTCCCTTTCTTGAGCCACAATAGGCCTTCCTGCCATTTCTGCTTTCAGTTCAGCATTTGCTGTGTCCTGGCCACGGACTGGTTGCCTGTGCCTCAGAAGTGACTCACACACAGGCTCCCTTCAAGGAGCTGTGGTTCTGGGGAGGGCTGAGGGCTTAGAAGCAGGTGGTTTCACAACGATGTGGTAATTGCAGGGCTAGGGGGTTGTGGGTACAACACAGAACAAGGTAATCCTTCTTTCTCTCTTTTCAAGAGGACAGCTTCATCTCTTCTCCAGGAAAAGTACCTCCAGGGCCTTCGGCTCCTCCCCGTCTGGTGCAGTTCTCATAACCTTCTCCTTCTGATTGCTCCTCCGCACTGGTTTGTCATGCTTTTCGCTCTCAAAATGCATACCCTGGAGCTGAACTGGAGGCTGCAGGAACTCCAGAAGGAGGTGACAGCACTGGGATCCCCTGGATCTGTTTGCTTCCTGTCTGTGGAGAGCTCCCCTCCAGGCTGACATGACCTCACAGAGTGGCGATCTTTGGGGGCCCCAGAGATTGTCTCTCTTTTGCAGTTACTGTTTAATGGTGGAGAAGTGTGTAGGACAGTCACATTTGGTTTCTGGAATTGCTTTTCCCCCATATTTGAACATTGAAGCCGCAGAGCCCAGCACTCCTGTGCGTTGATAGAGAGGCGAGCAGCTGCTGCTGGCACATGAGTTTGCTGGAAGGCAGCTACAGATCTGGGGTCATTCAGAGCCCAGGATCCTGCTGCTGGGATTCCCACCCTCAAGAATCCATGGCTGTCTGTGACGAACGAGGGTCATCCACCTGGTCCTTTGCTGAAGCCGATGCTTGACCTGGCATTTCCCGCCACCTCACCCACTCTTCTCTGATCAGTGATCCCCTCACTCTCCTAATACCTGACTCATCTCATTTCCTGGGGGACGCTTCTGTTCTCGGGGCTCCCGCAGCAGGGATCCCTGTCGTGTTGTTTTGAGGATTTTGCTCACTGTTGCTGGTGCTTGGCAAGGATGAAGTGCCAAATGAGCTGAAAGGAATCACTTGGTGGCACAGCGCTGTGGGCTGGAGCCGAGCTGCTCTGCCCTCCAGGCCAGGGCTGTGTTGCCCCTCCTCCCAGCCAGAGCAGGGTCAGCCAAGTCCCGCCCCAGGGCCCCTCTGCGGCTCGCTGGCCGGCCAGCAGGCCTTCTTAAAGGCACCCTGTTGCTCTCATGTTCAGTAAACATTTTTAGAAATAACTGATTCACAGAAATTAATGGGGCTGGGACAATGGGCATGTTTTTAGAGTACAAAGAAAGCCTTCCAGGGGTCACAGAGAAGGGAAGTGATGAGTTTATTGTGAACCCAGGCTTAATTGCCAGTCTGCTCTTCTGCTGAGCACTGACTGGGGTCAAAGAAATGTAGACATCATCTTAACCCCCAGGAGGTTTTCTGTGGCACTGGGGAAACAGTCTGGAGTGGACCACAGTCTGGACCACCATGGTGGCCCCAGGGGTCGTCTGGCTTCCTGGAGAAGAGTGACCTGAGCTAGACCTGGAGCTTCTTCGGAGGGCTTACAGGTGCTGGGGAGCAGCAGGAAGTGCAGAAGTAAGGGGGCCACGAGGACTGAGAGTGGACGGAGAGAGCGGGGCCCTGGTCAGAGGCCAGTGTGCTTCCAGGAGCCGGGAGTGAGATAAAACCTCAAGAGCCTTCACACCAGAGAGGCCTCAGATACCAGATGAAGAGTGACTTTAACTAGACCCTATTTTTGTCTGTGGGGACCCCAGAGGTGCTTTTTTTAAAAAACAAAAAACAAAAAACAGGAGTTTTGTTTATTTTTTGAATCGTGATTTCTTTTTTCTCATGCATTAGCAAAAGTTCTTCCTAGATTGTCTGCTTTATAGCAGGTGCTCTGCTGGGCCCTGTATCTGAGCTCTAGACCTGAAGGGCCCTCTGCAGGCCCCCTTTGTCTGAGGTCTCCGGGGTTTCTGTCGCGCTTACACTGTAGACCATGCCCTGCTCACACGCCAGGGAGGCCAAAGCGCCTCGCGTGATTTTATTACTACTCACGACCGTCTTGTGAAGTGGGGAGTACTCTTATGAGGAGGTGAAGCATCTGGCTCCAAGTTATCCCAGATTTCAACTTGGTAACCTCACTCTGAAGCTTGTGCAATGCAGATTTCAGGTGCCATTAGGAAGTGCTGCCCGAATACAGATCCAGTTAAGGACATGCATGAAGAAGGAGGTGTCCATTAAAATATTTCTATAACAGCAAAAGATTGGAAACAGTATCATGTCCAATACTGGGAACTTGGTCACCATAAATTATGAAATACTCTATAGCCACTCTGCAGCCACTGCAAAGAATGGTGTAGAAATATACAAACTGACAGGGAGAGATGTTCACAATATATTGCTAAATGGAATAAAGCAGATTACAAAACAGTCTGATTTCAGTTTTATGAGATATTCATTTTCTATTTTTTCTACAGTGAGCATGTATTCCTCATGAAGTAATAATAACCTCAATGCATTGAACTCTTTCTTTGTGCCAGGGTAACATGCTAGGCCTTCAGTAGTCACTAGCTTATTTAATCATTTGAATTATTATCCCCATTTCATAGATAAGGAAATTGGAGCTTAGAGAACTGGCTTAAGGTCTGTTTCATAGTAATTAGTGGCAGAGCTGGAGATTTGAACCCAGATATGATTTTATACAGTATGTACTCTTCGATACCATGCTACTTGCCTATGCCGTGATTCCGAAAAGTGAAAAAGAAGGAAAAAAAGTCTCTAAATATAGAAACTGTGAGACTAGATAGTATTTCTTGGGAGTAGAGGAAAGTGAGGATCCTTTTCTTCTTCGCATTTTTAGAAGAAAACATACGTTCTTTGTATTTTGATTCTGGCTTGCAGATGAAAAGCACGTATTGTTCCACAGATCCTTATGCCTTCCTTTGTCTTCCCCATATGCTCCTGGGATATACACAATCTAATTTATGCTTTACTTTTATGA